GTTTTCTTAAATCTCACGCTTGATCAATAAACTATGCGACTGCTACTATGAAATTGGAATTACATACATGTGCTGAGGTGTTAAAAAGATAAATCTTGTCACACCACTCGACTCAAATACGTTTTCCGATTGGAGGAGACCGCGTCATTCGCCATGGGTCAAAACTCACTCCCTCAGCACTCTCTCGGGAAACAATTACTTGAACTTTCGACTCACTTGATCAGCTCATGCAACTTGAGACAGTAGCCGGAAGTTAAAAGTTCTCAAAGGTGGGGAAAAATTCAAATTCTCATGTAATTAAAAGAAAAATATGCCCAGAAAAGAAGCGGAAAAAAGAGCCTCTTTAAGGTTAAAATAAATTAAAGATTTCCATCGTATGTATGATAAATCCCTCGCATCTTCTAAAACCATCCCTTTGCAGGTCCATGCCATGGTTTATGCTCCTCACCAGCTGAGCACCGCTGGACAGTCTATTCACAGGCTCTAGAGTGCTCTAATTGCATACCGGGAAATTTGTCTAATATGGCGACGGTGGTAAGAGATTCAGGATTAGGATTTGATTTGTACACATGTACTGGTTTGAACTTTGCACAAGCCACTGGAAATGGTAAGATCTTAGCTAAACATTTAGGATTTACATGCAGAGGTAAATAAAATATTTTTGTGGCCGAATGTGGAAAGTATTAGGACAGGTGATAAATTGGCTATTTGCACTTGATCTTGATCAGGGACAACCATTTACAAGCTTGCAGATATATCGTAGATTTAAGAATTTATGCTTCCTTGAAATATTTTTTTTACTCATGAATCAAATTTGATTCTACTTTCGACACTTTGGCTTTTCATTTAGATTATTTATCGCCATTTGTGGAGTGTTTACTTTTCTCAAACGTGTTACAGGAAGAACTTGTTGATTTATTTAACCTTGAGGTGTTTGCCCCCTATGCTTTTCTAAGTCATATTAATTGAGTTAAGCGAATTTAATGACTTAAGCGTCAACCAGTTCAAACTGAAAATCATTGGTTTTCTCATCATGAGAATTTGGTGTTATATAGTTAACAGTGATGATACGACACTGTATCTGTCACACCCTAATCAATATGCGTTAGAGTTAAGATCTCAGAGAAAGTTCGATGTGCTGCAGTCATGGTTCAAGCGTAATTACTTAAATATAAACGAATCTAAAACTAAAGTATTGCCTTTGGGTGATAATCCGCCATGTTATGAATTGTTTGCTGACCGTACTAGGCCTCCCTTGAATGTGGTACACGATATGAAGTTATTAGGTCTAACTATTGACAGCTCCTTATCTTTTAAAGCCCACATTAAATCCGTGTGTAATAAGGTTAATGCCAAAGTTAGTGCTCTTAGGAGAGTTCGTAAATTCATACCTTCAGAAGTGATGGTCAATATTTACAAGGCATTTATTTTGCCACACTTAGAGTACTGTGCTCCAGTCTTAGTTGGGTTATCATCTGGCCTATCTAACAAACTGGAGCTCACTAATCAGTATGCCATTAGAACTCTTTTAAACATGGCTAAGTCAAACTCATATAGTACCTTACTTGACCATGTGGGACTGAAGACCCTAGAGCATCGCAGATATTCTCATGCTCTCTGCCTTTTTTATAAATGCTTATATAACATGGGGCCGAATAATATTAGGGAGATGTTTTTATTTCGTAATAATAAATATGACCTCAGAGGCTTCTGCAAGCTTGATCAGCCTACTTATTCTAGCAGATTCATGCATAGGTCATATCAATACGTCACTACAAGATTATGGAATAATCTACCTGACTATGCAAGAAGAGCTCCTTCTCTTAATATTTTTAAATCAATGCTGGACGAGGTCAACTTGACTACCAGTGTGGAGTGTGAATGCAACTTTTGTACATAGCTTATTTTATCCCTAGCTTGTTCCCTCTTAGTTTTATTGATTCCTATTTATTTCCTATATATCG